ACGCACAACCCTAAACCGAGTTACCCCCTATCCGTGAAACAACTAAGCAACGCTGGTTACCGCATGCCCTACGCCAGCTCTCCTTGCGTTTACGTTGGGCACACAGGCCAACGTCTTGAGACTCGCACCAATGAACATAAGTTAGCCATTTATCGACGGGACCCGTTATCATTCGTATTTGCGCACTCCATTGAGTGTGACCTTCGCTTTAGTTGGGCACCGAGGTGATCGCCATGGCCAATAAAAGATAAGGAAATTTAAAAGAAACTAGAATGATTGCCAAAATTATCAATAGGACAGGTCATGAGTCAGCTGCTAGCGACTACAAAATGCTGAAGACGGCGATTTCGAAGATAGAGGACTGGTTATTTATCAGCTGTTGACAAGGATGTGGGAGTTTCAGTCAGCGTATTTGCACTGATAAGTATTTGGAGGAATACGCATATCAGTTTTAAGGCAACCACCTTACTGCTTGCTGTTCCAGACATACTAGGTGTGACCAGGCTCGGATTTCGATGCCTCCTTACTGACTATTACTATGTCCGGTCTGGCGAAGGAGGATGATTTGTGGTAAAACAAAAGCACCGAAACTGTGCGATATCGACAACAGCGAGGAACTGCAGAATGGTGAATTTTGCTACCATGCCACGCCCACATATGCTTGATGGGCTCCCTGCAGTTACATGTGTAAAATACAGTAGAGTGTACAACTCATTAAAAATCAAGATCAAAACTTTTAAATGGTATCGTGGCACAGTTTGTTAGTTGTGTTTGTTGAATTGCTGAAAACTAGGCCATGTGCGTACGAGGTCCGACAGGTGATTAATTACGAGGCCTATTTATGCTTGCACTCAATTAATGTCGATAAAATGTTGTTAAGCTGTTGTCGTTAATCAAACCCACCCAATAATAGCTAACAGATATTAACCCCAAATGCAGGTTCGTAGTGGTTGCAAGTGACCTTGGCGAAGGCTTCTGGTAAATTCCGCACGGAAGGCGCCCTATAAAGTCAAGGTTGTTGTAAGAAGGGGTTTTAGGGGCGAGGCAAAAAGTGGCATTTTGAAGAACGGTAGGGCAAAGGTAGGAAGCAATGACAACCTTCGCATTATTTAAATACTCCAAAAGCATACGGACGTGCGCGCCCAATTCAAGAGAAGGTGTCTAAGCCGATTGCAAACAAGTGGTAAGAAGAGAAGCGAGGCAAATCGCTGGGGACTATTTAGGAATACCTTACGAATTACATATGAAGGGAAACTGTAGCCTGCGCCAGTTAGCTGCCCGAAGAAAATGGTAACCAGAGAAACTGCACTATTACGGAAACGAAAGGTAAGAAGAAAGTTGCATTTGCGCAATAACAAAACTGGGTAGAGGTTTTACATCAAATATTATTATAGGCAGCCATTTAAGGTAGATCTTAATGCCAGAAAAGCCACGGGGAACTGGAATAGCAATTGGCGGGTTATTAGCCGCTGTCAACTAGTCATACCCAGCCCCAATTGGTGAACCATCCGAGGCACGAACTCGCGACCCGCTTGATCAGAGTCTAACGCCTTAACCACTGGGCCACGAGCTAGCTAGCTTGCTTGCTGGGGGGATACTTAACCTCCTTAGGCATTACAGAAAACGACAGGGACACTAGAATGGCCATTTCATGCTAATTAGCCGCCATCAGCTTGTGATACCCAACTCCAGTGTAGTCGCTGAACTTGCTGCCAGTCTTGAATTTTAAACCTGTGACCTCTCTTAGTAGAATCAAACGCCCTAACCATTGAGCTGCGGTCCCGATATCTTGTCGCTTGTTGATCAAAAATATAGGAAAGTATACACTGAACTGTTTCACGATGCACCCGTCCTGGCTGATGTTCTTGGAGCTTGTACACGTAAAAGTGAATGTCGCAATGTACTGAAACTCGTTGTTGAACATTAACCGATCTCTAGCGGAACTCACTTGCCTAGTTCAGGTTTGGGCCTTTTTGGGCAGCTAGTGGCAGGTGAATTTCGTTAGCGGTAGGTGAACGTTCACCAAGGAGGCAGCCCCTCACCAATTATTTTTTATTCTCTGTTTTCTAAACAAGCAGGCAAGGAAAGGCAAATACAAGATGACCATTTCACCCAAAAATAATAAACCTTGCTAAAAATAAAATCACCCCAGCTGATTAAATCCTGCCATTTCAAATACTGCAGCGGACAAAAGTCAACTGCCGCTGCTCCCAGTGAATGCACAAAAAACGGTGACCTTACACAATTTGAGTTATATTTAGATGTGTCCGCTGTAGGTGAAAGGAAGCGCTGCGAAAAGGTCCCTTAGTTGAAAACAGTAGACTTTAAATAAGGACAATATGAAACGCCTGCTGGACTGTCATTTCCGAGACCAGAATGCATAAATGCCATAGGAATAGCACATCAAAAATTGGTAACCTGGTACACCGTTGGGTTCTAGAAAATAAATGATGAAGGCAAAACAGAAGAGGGATTCAGGCACAGAATTCCCAACTGATGAAACTTCAAGTATCAGAAGAATGTGCAATATAGGTCGAGAGAAAAACACAGATTTGGACAGTAGGCATGCATGATACGGCACAAAATAAAACCCTATTTGAGAAAGGTAATGCTAAGGGTTGATTGTCGCCGAAGAGGGCAATTAAAATATGAGTAGCGAGCGAAAGTGTTATTATCGCCGACGATTGGAGGCTAACCACCGTCTTATAGGTGAAGCTATCGGGTACTTTCCTGTCAACTACTAAGAGCAGTGTTCGGATTAAACATTTGATAGACCCAAGAAAGGCGCAGAAACCTCCTGAAGCCAATTGTGGCACAGGCTGGAGGAATTTGGACTGGTATCCGGTAGGACTGTGTAAACCCATATTGAAGAACTGAAGGAAGTAAATTAAAACTGTTTGTAATTGTTTGAATGCAGTAGAATATGTGTGAAAAGTCTGCAGAAAGAACAAAATCGACTATGCTCACCCCCGATTGGTCAGCGAATGATGCCTAAAGACTAATAGCAATAACAGAACAACCACTATTGGTTGACACAATGAAGGTGTTGGGATAGGGGAAATTCGAACTACTGAAAATCTAGAAGTAGGTTCTTATTATTAATCGCAGACAAAAGGGGCTTCACAAGAAAGCCCTACTAGTTAAAGTTAAGCATTATAAAGCACAATCTGCCGTCGATCTTGAAGCCTTCCTTGCGCACA